ATCTATTGACTGACTCTCACATTAGGATTTCGTGTATACGAGAAACCAAACGGCGAATGTAATCTGAAATGTTCGCTTGGTCATTTAGAGGTATGCTCTAAAATGCCAAAATCGGAGGAAATTGAGAAAAATATTAGTAGTATATTTTTCTCAATTTCGTCGGATTTTATTTAATATTATATACAATTAATATTATATATAGAAATAAATGTTTGTTTTAATTATTATTATTTTATTCAAAAGTGGTAATATTATCGTGTAACATAGCCACCGAAATTGTGAGCTCCTCAGTTTGAAAGGCGCTTAAAAAATTAAACTAGGTGACGAGCGGCTGCTTCCAAATGCATCTAAAATTTAATACAGCACTAGCCATGTTGAGTTTTATTAATTTCATTCGCTTTTGTGGAATATCCGAGTGCATTCCTATCCAACTATGTAAAGTCAAGAGGAAGAGTTTTCAGTTTGTATTGTTTTAAAAGTTATGAAGCTTGCTAAGTAAAACGCGAGTCAGTAATATAATATTAATAATATTGTATAAAGCCCGAATAACTAAGCAGATATTATAAACTATCCGATAACTTTTGACCTGACTAGATAATATGCATATCCAGATCCGATATGATTATCCAAATAAATATTTTATATTGCAAGCACCCGTTATAAAGGATATTTTTTTTTAGTTGCAACTTTAAGGGGAAACAAAGACAATTTTAGATTACTAGTTATCAATCGTGATTCATTCCACGTGACCAGACATTATTATTTTTGATTGACAAATATAAAAAGTAGCCTATGCTCCTCTCCAAATTAAATATAATATCACGCCAAATATCATGGATATTAAATTAATTATATTATTACGACATAATAAATTTATAAAATTTCCTGTTATATGTATACGTTATACATATTATGAAATGACTGGTTGACATAATAATAAACAATCTAACTGTCATATTTGTAATAAAGATAAGCATTACAAAACATTATTTTTGTATATTTAACAATTTGAAATGAGTTTTTTTTTCTGTTACCCCTTGAGAACCTTTATATTTTAAAGGCAACAAATATGCATGAAAAAAAAATATAGATTACAGTCATTATAACGATTATTCGAAGCTATGGGCATAACTAGAAAAATATAATTTAAAATAAATATGATACCTTTTCAGATTACGTTTAGTTTACAATCAAATGTAATTAACATAAAGCTATCAACATGAATAGAAGCTTGATAGAGTGTTTGAATGACATGCGATGTAAACATTCAATAGAGCTTTAGAAACATGAATATGTAGGCTAAAGAGCTATTTAATCTACGTATACAAGACTGGAAGTCTCGAAATCTTGAGTCTCTTTATTCAAATTTCACAAAGATTGAAAATATATTAGTCTGTACAAGTGAAGTGTGAATACAGATAAACCAGAAGACCAGATATATCATGTGGACATAGATTATATATATATAGAACATCGAGTATTAAAAACGTTTCAATATTTATTCAACTAAATTAATATTTGGCTATATCTATTTGACACTTTTTTTTTAATCTTTTGTGTTGATTAACGATGCGCCATTTTTCCAGTGTTACAAGTAATTAGATTAAATATTTCCCAAATCAAATCGATATTTGAAATTTAAATTTGGAACTACATAATCCTTTTGATATTAAATAAATAAACATAAGTTCGTATTGGTTACGAATTAATATATGTACACGTATTAATTAAAATGGCGGGAACAATCATTCTCAACGATTTTAAAATGAAAACATATTGTACTGAATAAAGATAAGCATCATTTCAAATGATTATGCACTATTTATCTTATTTTTTTTTTAAATATATTCATAAGAATTTTGTATCATTTTTATTTTTCAATTTAATATTACTATAAAATTACACACATAGTAAGTATATATGATGGAAACCTTATCCACGTATACATAGATAAAAAATTTAGCACTTATATGAGGATATTATATCTATATAATTTAAGCATGCAGGGCATAGTACCCTCACATTGCTATTTTAAAACCACTAACCTACTGTTTCCACCAAAGAACGCACAAACGATCTCCCTTATGTGTTCATAGGTAACAGGAACTACTTCATGTAATGGAATAGTAAACTTTTGATAAATAGTAAATATTTTAACGACTTTTTTGATGAAAAAAAATATCTAACGACATGTACATAAACACAACATGTTTTGGGATCATGTAGTTTAATAAAAATAATTGTCTTCTATAATAATAATTACTAGTGTAGTAAAAACATGTTTAATACATTTCTTAAACTTACAATAAATGTTATATAGTTTCTAATTTAAAAGTCAAAATCACTATAGTCCTTTATATACCGTGTTATACCGGTATAGGATAGGCCATTCCTTACTTTCCCGTGGGTGTCGTAAGAAGCGACTAAAGGAACTTAATGGTTGAGATATGGGCAGCAAGGTTGCTCTTAAAACATCACCAAATCCTAAATATAGTTCCCAACCCGCCTGCTAAGCGTGGCAACTACTGGCAAAACTCTCCTAATGGAGGAGACCTATGTTCGGTAGTAGACAGTTAATGACAGTTGATGTGATATAATAATTATTTAAGGAGGAACAGGTCAACATATAACAATCAATTTTGAAACTCCAAATACTATTTTTAGATCTCAGGTTAATATAATTTTATAGTTTTTCAACACACGTTGTTTGGGAAAAAATGTTCAGGGTCATTCTGAGACGATATTCTTTAAAATTTTTATTTTAATTAAACAGATTCACGAAAATAATATTTCGTGAACTATCATAAATAAGTTATAATAAAATTGACTTAAATGTTTTAGAAATTTAGTTCACATTAGTAAAAATTCAACTATAACATCAACTTATTTTTTTTATTTAAGAAATAGGTCAGTGGCGCCATAAAACTTCAAAGAACATTAATGATTTCGATTTCTTCTATATATTATGATCCATGTATAACGGAAATGTAGTGTATAGTGTTATACCTTTAACGTCAGAGATAATTAGCATATTTAAATATGTATCACTGACAAATTGATATGACAAACCTTATATGCAGATATCTCTTCCTACTCATAATCACCGGAGTATACTTAAGCTTCAACACAAATTATTAAAAAACAAATTGAATATAACATCAGTATTGTAAGACAATTATTATATGATAATTAGAAGGCTTTATCTAATTAATTAAACTGATTAACTGTTTAAAATAATTTTAATCAAGTTTCCTAATCAGAAAAGCAGTTAATAAAGCTGCAGCTGTGACTATCAATTATCCCTTGGAACAGTTGAAATGTAAGCCGAAGTAAGACCTAAAAACGACTTTATAAAACCTTTCCGAGACAAGCTTTGAACTAAAAGTGCCTTTTCATCTAGACTCTTTGTGAACCTTGTTTTTTTTGTCACTTTTGAGAACGGTGTCCTACTTTGTTAATACTACTACTCCTTTAAGTTTTTATCTATTTTTTTCTAATCTAAATGTCTGTATTTTGTAAGCTAATATTTTTTTGCTACTTTATTGCATTGTGTTTGAAATTTTAAATAAGAACTAGGTTTAATATAGTCAATTAAGTTTATGGCAGGAATATATAATTTACGACATTAGGTACATATATAAATCAATTTCATAATTTCGAATCACACTTGAATTATTCATTTTATTTAATAAATATCCAAACGTATTAATGAACTTTTACCCTAGATAAAGTCACAGCTAGTACTTATTATATACGCGAGATAATTCAGGATAATAGGTTTGTCTGTGAACCAAATTTTATTAAAATCTATTCAGCTCTTTAGGCGTAATCAAGCGTAATAAATAAATTCCTCAAACGTTTTTACAAACATACATACATTTTTACATAACAGTCAACTAATACGCTATTAATTTGAAGTTTTGTAAAGTTATTACTTGGATTAATACCTACTCAATCACTCTTTAAGGGCTGAAAAGAATTTAATTAAATTTCGTATACGACAATAGTCTCGAATAAAATATAAATAATACTCTATAGTGGTTTAACCTGCCAAAATCGTAACATACAATTAGTACAGCAATAATAAAAATATATAGTTAGCTAGAAAAAGATCTAAGCGGTCCCTTTTATACTAAATACTACGAAAATCATGTATTGTTGCTAAGTCATACATTTATGTTCATTACGTTTTATGAAGGTTTTTCTTTATTACATCTCTCTTTATACAACAATATAATCATGAGATGATAATATTGTTCTACAAAGAGATTAGAATTGAGCTTAGAATACTAATCCAAGCTCTAGAACTTTCTGATAATTCTATCAGAACAATAAACAGTTATTAAAATCAGTTTGAATGAAAGTAATAGAATTAAATTAATGGAAACTGTAATACCTGTGGTACAATTTCACAATGGTTATATAATGGTTATTCTGATAAACGAATATAATCATAGAAATATTCATACAATATTTCTATTTATGTTTTTGTTATTATATTCCTTGTATGCTGTGTGATCCTGACATATAATAGGCCACTGCTCCTTTTTTCCGTTGGTATCGTAAGAGGCGACTAAGAGAATTTAATAGTGGAAAAATGGCCAGCAGTGTTCGTCTTAAAACCCTTCTTATGAGGGAGGCAGTGAGATATATTTATATCTATATATAATATTTCTCAACAATTTATTATCTTTACTGATAGAGTTAAATGGAAAAACTCCAGATATAAGTGCAATGAAATCTATGACTAATAAGCAATAAGCTTAATAATATTAACAGTTCCACTTGTGCCTACCAATGTGTAGGTAAGAGTGGAATTTTATTCTATCTTTTTCCACTAATAGAAGTGAATAGAAAATATTTTTTGTTATTTACTTGAATAATATCTTAATGTAACTAATTACAAAAATAATATTAATGAAGAAGCATAATCTGCAGTATCATCGCTGAAAGCGATCGCTATTTAGCAATTACGTTTATTTATTTGTTTTTCTTTTCAGGCAAATGGGAACTCGGCTGGATACTTTGTGATATATGGATAAGCTTAGACATCCTTCTCTGTACTGCATCAATTTTATCGTTATGCGCCATCAGCGTGGACCGTTACTTGGCAGTCACCAGACCATTGACGTATTCGAGAAGAAGAAGATCAAAGAAGCTAGCTTTGACCATGATATTGTTTGTTTGGATTGCCGCCGGTGCTATCACGTGTCCTCCTATGTTTGGATGGTAAGTAAATGCTAGTAGGTATGCATGTGTAAGTTTTGTTTATAACAATTTTCTTACAATTTTTAATATATACCTCTATGTATAAAAGTGTATATATATATATATATATATATATATATATATATATATATATATATATATATATATATATATATATATATATATATATATATATATAACATGTATATATATGTGTATAATATATATATATATATATATATATATATATATATATATATATATATATATATATATATATATATATATATATATATTTACAACCATGATGGTTGGTAAAAATACCTACAATTCAGAATTTCAAAGTCCTTATCTCTCTCATTTTGATGTTCTCGTGCTACGCCAGTAGCGGTAGGCATATTGCTTTGCGGTTCCGGAATCAATTGCTGGGTGGATAAATAAAATAACGAACATTTCTAAATTGTCTTGGATGTATTGACTGGCTCCGAAATCTTCGTGGCACTTATTTTGTTTTTATTATTTCTTTGTTTAAATGGTTATGTAGTATTATACAAACATATAAACAAAAAAATATAGTAGTAAAGCCTACCCGTATCAATTGCATAAAGAATTACTAACATTAATTCAGAATCAGCGCATAAGAGGGAGACTTTGTACAAAAGTCGATTGCTTGGGTGCCTCTGCCCCATTCATGTTTCAACCGTAAAACAGTTGTGTTTGCATGGCTGTGTTTCGGTTTGAAGGGTGTGATATGGCATCAATTTACTGGGTACAGAGGAATAACACCTGAGTCCTCAGGTGTGGCAACGTATAGGGGGTATCATGGGCGAAACAGTATACTCTGTTATGTCCATGGTACTGCTCATGTCTATAGGCGACGGTTACCACTTTCCGTCAGGTGGGCCGTCAGCTTGTTTGCCATTCTAAGATGTATAAAAAATAACCTTTTTGTACCTTATAAATATAAAATACAATTACTTACTTTACCCAATCTAATAAAAGAGGAAACTTAGTAATAGAGCCGGTACAGCAGGGTGTAGAAATATGACATTTTACACGGGGTTCTTTATATATCTTCCCACTAAAAAGGGATTACCCAAAAATCCCTCGGGAAAAGGGTTCTACGTGCATGAAACGCGGTAAATATATAGTTTAAAATAAATGTAATAAATCTGGTCCATGTGACGGTGGGTATCCCTAAAGTGCTGATAGCATTGGCTTTCTCTAAAGCGAAGCTGATACTCTGGCCAAAAAATGCTTTTGGAATTCAAAATAATTATAAAAAGATGAGATTGACTAACTTATTACGGAGATATAAGTAATCTATGCATCCTATTAAATGGTGCCAAAATACCTACCAAGTAAATACCTGCATGCACAATTTTTATTTTTGATGTGTTAGTTTTGATGGAATGGAATCCTCGCCTGCGCTAACAGTATATGCTGGCGAGGCATCAGTGAAGAGAAATCGATGAGAATGAAAACAGGTCAGTTAGCCCATCATGATGAATTTATCAGGAATTAACCATGATAGTTTCCAAGGGGAATCGCGAGGAGGTCGACTTGGTTGGGTTTATTTCTAGCAATGAGTTTCTCAATCTCAGTGCAGTAAACAACTTATCCTTCAAGTAACTTATTAACCTTTACAATTCCTTAATCTTATACAGGCCAAAGGTATCTCTTTATAAGGTGAGAATATTTACTACACAGGTGGCTTGGTAGGTACAAGTACTTCTGACAGTTGTGTCATCAACATCATCTTCCTGCCTTTATTCCAATTATTTGGGATCAGCGTAATATGTATGTATCCATATTACCCAAACTTTTGAGGACTTTTGGTATTACGACTTACCGCTTACCTAACGTCAACCTTCCTTAGTAATGCATTTGTTGATAGTATCCGTTATCTACCGTATGGAGAAAAGTATTAAGGACAAAAAAGAAGAACGTTGGAAGTGAGTAAAAAAAAGAATTATGATGTATGTTATGGGGAAAAGGAGAAGGAAGGCACTGCAGTTTGCAGAGGAGGTACTGGTCAGAAACTTGCGGCTCGGAAAGCTGGGGTCGCATGCCCATATACTCTTACTTTAGAACCGGACAGATCACTAGAGGAGAACATCCTTGGCACTACTATTACTCCTTAGAGTCATGTATTGTACTTTCTGGAAATGAAAAACAATGGTAATATACTGTATTTTTGCTAAGCTGCACATGAAAGCAGGTAATTAATTTAATTTAGAGACTTAATAGCTTTTTTAATTCTAAAAAAATATAATAAAATATTTATAAATGTATTATCTGACACAGCAAATGTTACTTTGCCATCTACCGCCACCTACACATCCATTTTTTCTTATTGGGGTAAAAACTATTTATAAAAGAGTACATATTTATTAAAATTGATAAATAGGTACTCTTTGTATTAATGAACGGTTTTGGAGATTAGCATGAATAAGCATATATGGGACGTATATAATATATACGAGTATTAGCTATATCCTGCTACTCTGTCCGTGTAGTATATAAAATGTCCTATTTGCTAAATAAAAATATAATCTACCAGTGAACCAAATTTTATTTAAATCTGTTCAGTAATTTTTACGTGAAATAGTAACAAACACCTGTCTATCCATCGTTACAAACTTTCACATATCCATTAACACAATAGAGGTCTTTGCTTTGAGTTCACGAACTAAAAAAACTCTACCTAACCTATCTAACTCTATCGTTAATCGTATCTATCTATTTTAACCTATGATGCCCCTCTGCTAAGCTAAAATCTCCTTCCTCTTCTACCTATTAAATTATTAAAATATTAGCTTATGTTTTTAAGTATAAATATTAATTGAACTTACCAGAGATAATCCAATGAAATTCACGTGAAACACGCAGTAAGCATTCTTGAACAAATAGAAAAAGTAACATCAATTTTAAATAAAATATTCTTTAATCTTTCATTATTTCTTCTCTGTATTACTTTTATTTTCATAAGAAGTTTGCTACATTATAAATAGATGCGTGCCTGTTCAATATCGTTATAAACCCATTTTATTTTTCTACTTTAATTTAAGAAATTATTTTATTTCAATATTAAAACATAAGATTCTTTCGACTTAAATACGATATTACCTTCATTATATTTTAATTTCAACAAGTTAATTCCAATGTAACACAACTTTTTGGATAATCCTCAAGAATTCTTCATTGCGTAAATAACATGACACTCCTTATTACGAGGAAAAGTTTTGTGTTTATCATCTTTGTTATACGACATTGTTAGTCATGCAATGAAGTTTGTTGTCCCGTTCTATTCATCCATTTATATATTTATATTACTTTATGTATTTAAGTTAAAAGTCATATCTAATGTGAAATTTTCAATTAAAATAATGAAATGATTCAATCCTGTATTATGGAGTGTGTAGTATAACATTTTGTTTAGTGCCGAACTGCAGACATTATCCGAAATGCACATCAAAAGCTTTCGTGTACAGCGACCTTGTAACTCTTGATACTAGAGGGCGACAGCCTCACAGTTACAATAGTGGATGAAAATAGAATGCTGACGCTATTGGTTTACGCTAGTGGGATTCCAATGAGGCATGAATGATAAGTGAGGATGAAATTCAAGTCACGTCAGGTGGCTCATTGCTACAAATTCACCAGGAAATAATGACAATAGTTTGTAGTGAAACCATGTGATCTGGCAGAGTATATTGTTAGCAATAGATCGCCTGGCTTCATTAATTACAATCTTTTCCCTTCTCTAACACTAAGATGACATAAATAACTTCATAAAAACTAAAACCTTCTACAAATCTATTTTAACTATAACACTGTTTTGTCATTTTTCTTTAAATAGGAAATTTAGTAGAAAAGAAAGAAACAAACCGTTACAATAGCTAAAATATTTGAAGGTTTTATGAATAAGGTTAGTATTAACGGTATAAATAACAAACAAAAACATATCGTAACGAAATCAATGTGTTTTTAGGCAATACGTATTTCTCATTGTGATATTATTTTAAGAATATCACAATACTTCAGTCTTTTCCTGAGCCGAACCAAAATGAAAATATTGGGGCTGAAATGCTAACAATGCTTACAAATTTTACCTTCACAACGACCGTTTCTAGGGTAATTGGGCTTTGCTGCTAATGCTCGCTTTTCCAATAGCATATTTTCGCTGAGGATTTTCATGTCATTATAACACATTTTTATGGTTAGAAAAATATGAACCGAATATTTTGCTTTATTGCCTTATTGCTGCCAAAATAGATACTCTATTTTGATAGCAACAAGGTAATAATAATTTCAGAATTAATTTTTCGTAATAGATATTAGATATATAGAGTTGGTGTGATAGTGCAAACGCTTGAAAATGTTTGTTGTTAATTTCTATATTTATTTCTTAATGTAAGTTCGGGAATATAAAATAAGTATACTATTATATAATTAGCCATGACATAGATATGTTTTTATGTATTTTAATGTATTGTATGTGATTTATATATTTATAATTTTTGTAAGTATATTATTATATATGTTAATATGTTCATTTATCTTAAAATGTATTATTGTTATTATTTATCAATATATTTATTGCATTTACCAATTAATTTTGCTACACCAATACACCGCCATTTATCCTCTCTGTTTAGCGTAACGGTTGACTGGTAGAGAACACCATCAGGCATTAAGTCCGCCCTGTAGACATATTTTACTAACTCCTGAAACACAGGTTTTTTCATACCTACCTCGAGAGTTAGGGACTTCACAGTATATTGTAACAATGAGTGAAATAAAGATTTATTTATTTATTATTATTATTATTTTAATGTATGCAAAAGTACAAATAAATAAAGAATGTCTCAATTCGAGTGACGAAGGGTTGTTTGTGATAGACACTAAAAGCTTAATCGCTAGCAATATACTCTACTAGTCATTACTGTCTACATACTGTGCCTAAGAGAGATTGTCTTAGTCTTACTTATATCATTAGATAACTATGCTTATACGACTATATTTTGGACTACTTAAAAGTGCCTTTATTACATGAATAGTAGTAAGAATGTTGTAGCCATAACAGTATATTCTGTGACATATACATAAGAAACGGTTACCACTTTCCATCGGATGATCCATTCCATCAGCATGTTTACTATTTCAAGTCGTATAAAAAAGGATTATGTAGCTACTTGCTTATCTGACTTGAAAATCGTAAAGTTTTATTTCAATCTTGTTAGAGCTTTACCCAGGGATAAAGATACCTATGAACCAGACTCGATTACTAATAAAATAAATACCGCACGAATGGAATTGCTTACAAGATAGAACAGTTGTAGAAGCAAAATACATAGCTACTATAATAATTGTCTATTATTTGATGTCCCAATCAAGAAAGGGTCAGTTGTCACTAACTTCCGCTCTGAAATTCAATTTACATATTTGCATGAACTACAACTGTTTGAATTTTGCGAGTGATGCCCTAATGATATTCGTGCACCTATATATAACTGACCATTTATATATTTATCAATACCGGCCCGATTTAGGAAACTGCTATTTCTAAATTGAACCTATTTCTGTTTTAAAACCTGACCTGAAACGATTCTCAGTCAATATAATACTCATATATATACAGTCATCAAAAACTAAACAACTATCTCTATAAAAGAATAGAATTTGGGATGATAACAAAAAACAACAACGGCCACTGCTAAATGTAATATTTCCTCAGAATTCCACTATAAAGTAAGGTTCCTGAGGTAGGTAAAATTTAAAACAAAAATATAAATAAAATTATATTTACAATTTCACTTATTGGAATACAGATACTATGTATCACTTATTTCATGTCGTTGCCGTTCATATCTATAAGCGACGTTACCACTTTTTATCGAGTAGTAGGTCGTCAACTTGTTTGCTATTCTAAGTTACAAAAAAAAAAAATGAATTGCATATCCTATGATGATTTTGATGTATACATATATAAGTGTCCATTTATATAGATATTTTATGCATTTTCTTTAACTGTTTTCTTAACAAAAAAAAACTTTATTTCTCAGGTATGAGCCAGATCACAACCAAGGAGGTGTATGCCGTTACAACCAAAACCCTGGTTACGTGGTGTTCTCGGCTATGGGGTCATTCTTCCTGCCAATGGCTGTGATGGTGTATGTATATGCGCGGATATCCTGCGTAGTAGCCAGAAGACATCAGCAGCTTGCTAGCACAAGCGCTAAGTGTAGCAAAGTGAGTACTGAAAATATAAGCTACTAGTATTTTGACAATCCTATCATATATCTCGTTCTTTATACTTTTTTATCACTATTTTTTTATTGTAATCAATAGAGAAGCTATTACGAAGGTAACAAAGCAAAAATAACTTGTAAAACAATAATGTACTTATGTTTAAAGGAAAGAAACAAATTGTCTTTGAAAATAATGTAATGTACAAATGCAACATTATATTATCTGTGACAAAACTTAGAGACAATTTATGATGACCAGTGATATTTACTATACAAAAAATACCAATGGTAGTCCTTCAATTTTGAACTTGTAAACTTAAAGCTTCATATTCAGGCTACTAGTAATTAGTAAAGTTTCGTGAAGATGTTTGAACGTTGGTTCCTGGCCACTGAACTGGACCCAAGTACTGCAGTATAACTTTCCATGGTATAGCTGGTTTAACACGTTTAGTCTCTGATCAACGTATGATGTACCTGTATAAAATAGAAAATGGATAAATTCAATAATTAATATTTGCATGCCATTCGATGTGGCGAAACATAATGGACATCTTATAAACTTCACAAATGCAACACCTTTTCTACAATGTTTCTAGCAAATAAATTTCATTTCATTTCATTTCATTTCATTTCATTTCATTTCATTTCATTTCATTTCATTTCATTTCATTTCATTTCATTTCATTTCATTTCATTTCATTTCATTTCATTTCATTTCATTTCATTTCATTTCATTTCATTTCATTTCATTTCATTTCATTTCATTTCATTTCATTTCATTTCATTTCATTTCATTTCATTTCATTTCATTTCATTTCATTTCATTTCATTTCATTTCATTTCATTTCATTTCATTTCATTTCATTTCATTTCATTTCATTTCATTTCATTTCATTTCATTTCATTTCATTTCATTTCATTTCATTTCATTTCATTTCATTTCATTTCATTTCATTTCATTTCATTTCATTTCATTTCATTTCATTTCATTTCATTTCATTTCATTTCATTTCATTTCATTTCATTTCATTTCATTTCATTTCATTTCATTTCATTTCATTTCATTTCATTTCATTTCATTTCATTTCATTTCATTTCATTTCATTTCATTTCATTTCATTTCATTTCATTTCATTTCATTTCATTTCATTTCATTTCATTTCATTTCATTTCATTTCATTTCATTTCATTTCATTTCATTTCATTTCATTTCAACGACTTTCAATATACTCATATTCAAATTAAAGCTTATTATAAATTTCATGCAATTCTGATCGTAAATTCGTAATAATTTGTGACCTTTGGGGGATTTGTAATTTTAATTACACGAGCATTAGTGCAACTACACGTGTCCGAATATTTCAAAGATAACAATCAGTTTATTTCTAACATAATTAAAAAGGTAAACTTCTTTAAAAACTCAATAAAAAAGTTCAATCCTGATAAAAAAACGCTACTAAATAATATTCCGAAGAGATATTTAATTTAAAATATATTTAATTTGAATGCGGAATTATGTGCCTGCAAGTATATTTTGTTTGGAAACAATCATGATTTTATTCCGAATAATAACGGTAACTTCAATTGTCACAAAATTAATACGAGATCAACGTTGAGGAAATAAGATTACAAAAATAAACATGAAAATCGATTTAGAATTCATAATCGTGGAATATAGGCACAAACTATAAAAATAAACGTCCTCTTTGAAAGTCGTTCAAAAATAAATGTAGGTAATTAACAAAATCCTGATACCAAAATTGCCACTGAGAACAAACAAACTGAAAAACTTTTCATATTAGGGTATACAATGTGCGTATCACGTCTCTTTTGTAATGATAATAATAAAATTAATGAGTTATAAAAGTTGTAACATGTTCAACCCCATACGGTGTCTTACACTGCATTAACGTACTGCATTAGTATTATTACTTATGGTTTAGTACTGTAAACTGCAGAGGTAAAGGGGTTTTGTGTGTAAAGCAAAATAATATTTTTTATATTACCTATAAAATCAACAACGCTATATGAAATTTTAAAGATAATTAAAGTACCATAAAAATAAATATCTGTACAATTATTAATTAAGTATTATACAGAATTTATTCCCAGCTAAAATTTTTCCCTAGATACAGTACGAAGCTTTAAAAAAACGCGAAGATTTCTTCAAGATCAACAATGAGCACGTGACACCTCTCGTCTTGCTGGCGTCCGCAGCTTGCAGTAACTGTTTTCCATTAGACGGACTGTATACTTGTTTGCCACCTTTGTGATATGTATATATATTTAGGGTGGGTAACATATAGCAATATCTATATATTTTAGTTAAAATATACCGGTCCAATAAAGAATATGTAAAAGTCTAGTATCCAAAAAATAATATACATATATCTTATAGTCTTTTAACATATTCGAAAATAGATGTCCGACCGATATGGACGATATCGAAATGGGTGTTGACCTTTTTTACGCCATCAATGTCCACAGAAACCCAATATACAGATAGCGGATCGATATCCATATTACCAGTGCCTAATGTATAGGTACATATTAAAATTACGCTATGAAGTGTCTGAAACGAGATGGATTTTTGGAATATCTATTGACAATCCAGTCAAGTCCACTACAACATAAATAAATTGAAAAACGTTTTAGATTCCTTTCCCTGCGTCTCCTTTTGAAGTCACAAATCTAGAGATACTGAATTCTAAGGCAAACCTTATATTAATCGGATCATCTCTCACAGTTCTTTTATGTTAAATGCCGAAATATTTTATTGCGTATAATTTAGATACTATGGCGTAAATATGATATTATTTATTTATTATTACAGGAATCCTATTTCTAAGGTGTAGTAATTTTGTTACATGACAAAATGTTTTGATTTTAAAAATAATTATAAAATATTTACAATAAACTTATATAGATTGCAAGTGGCAAGGGGAGATCGCTGTATTCCTCAGTTTGGTTTTATATTTTAGTACCCAACAACTACACATAAAAGTTTATCTATTAGGAATTCTTTTACAGTATAATAAATTTTATTAATTAAATAATTCATTTTAGTTATACACTTTTCTTCTTTTTTTTTATAATGTCAGGAATTATATTAAAATTTACCTGAAATGAAATGAAATGAGATTTAACATAACTGTAGTTTCTTAACTAATATATACCTATAATAGGGATTCGCTCTAAATTTTCCATTTTAGGCTCCAAAAAGGTTAGTTGGTTTCATCGTCTTGCATTCGAATATGGCCATTTCTAAGATATAAATCGATGATAAAGTTAGTATTTTTATCCTTTTAAAATGAGGTTTACAACTATCGATCGTTTGATATTATTATTCTCATTCACTTTTTCTGCATTATAAACAGATTCTGGACATCCATAATTTCACCCCATATGATTATACCGTAACGTAATCATACATATGTATGATTACGTTACGTTACCAGAGGGAGACTTTGTACAAAAGTCAATTGCATGGGTACCTCTGTCCCATTCGTATTTCAACCGTGAAGCAGTTGTGTTTGCATGGCTGTGTTTCAGTTTGAAGGGTGGGATATAGCGTGAATTTACTAGGTGCAGAGGAATAACATCTGAGTCCTCAGGAATGGAAACGCATGGTGGGTATCATGGGCGAAACAGTATACACTGTTATGTCCATGATACTGCTCATCTCTATAGGCGACGGTTACCACTTTCCATTAGGTGGGCCGTCAGCTTGCCATTCTAAGTTGTATAAAAAAAAGTAATTTTCTGCCAGGGCACGCTGTATATTTGTATTTTTTTTTTAATATGGATAGCACGTAGATAAATTTTGATAATTTTGTTTTAGTATTTAAATATGATTTTTTCCAATGATATTGGTATATTCCAATATAATTGGCATATGGCATATGTATTGATTATCAAACCAAGTAAATTAAAACCGATACTTCTTTTATTTAAAGTTAATATGTACATTTAAGATATAGGACCTAAACTGAATAATTTTCGTATTGTCCATATTTATTTTAAGATTGTGGTCTCGTAGGCATTCCTGTACAATAATAAAAGTATCATTTATGTACGAGTTATTATCGCTATCACTAAGATGATATATCATCAGCGAAATGGACATAGGCTGACTTTGTAGTTTTAGGAAGGTCGTTTACAAGAAAAAGCATGTATCCCAGCACGCTTCCCTGTGGAATAGAATGTTCGAAATTTAGTTTTTCCGATAGTTTGCCTGTTTTGTCGTCAAAGTTACACATAGACCTGTACATATTGCACTTTGTTTGCTAGTCATGATTTTAACAAATTATATATTAGGCTACGAATCCCTGTACCATTTAATTTGTGAACCAAATTTCGTGCGATACATTAACACGCCTATGTAATGTCTTATAAAAACCTAACGGTTATTTTTTGCTTCTAATGTAAGTTAATATTTGTTACATATGTTATTAGATTATTATAATACCTATTATATTCTATATCTGTCCATTTCCATAGAATTTTTCATAATAATTTTATCTGGATATTTTTCGTGCTGCAAAGTAATATTGAAAATATTTTCCATAAAAACATATATGAGAAAAAAAAACTTCCCGTACTAACTTGACAGCTAGTATTCACATATTAACTTGACACACTATGTTAGTCAGTTATTTGTTCAATTTTATTAGAAAATTACCTCGATAATAATTTTAATCTCACCTGTATGGGACGTTTCCTTGACGAATCAAAATAGACTATTTCTAAAATAGACTATTATTTCTCTGTTCAGTACTGCTCTTTAGGTTTGCTACTGACAGAAAGAGTATATTTTTATGGTTGCCTAGTTGGAACTACGCACCTACGGAACACGTTTTAATTTCACAAAAAACCCACAACGAAATATCAGCTAATGTGACACTAGCCTTAGTCCCATAAAATTTTGTGTTTGCGAGCGTCGTACCGCAACTATTTTCACTGCCCTTTTTAGCGTCATAATTTTCTTATATACGAGTTGGTGAGGTAGTTTCAGTATATGGTACAGTATACATAATATGATTATGTAAGCCAGAGTAATTGTGATCTACTACATCCATATAAAGAGTAATCTATATTACGGTATTTTATAGTTAATTTAGGTTGTATCAGAACATAAAGTACCCTATATTCTAAATTAGGGTATATGTATTCTTTTTTCATTCCACAAAGGTGCAAACAAGCATACAGTCCGTCTGATGGTAAACGGTTTCCGCAGCCTATGAACGCCTGCAATACCTAGAGCATAGCATGCGCGTTGCCTAAAGAAATCTCTTTACCCCTTTTTTAAAGAACTTCATGCTGTAGTCTATATCCTAGGTTATAACCTAACCATATAAAAAAAATCATTCAAATCCTTTTACCTGTTTGTGATTTGCGTGAAACAGTAATACGTCCGTCCTCTTTTGCATTTATAAATAGTAGTAGGATGTAAGAAATGGTAATCATAAAGACTGTATTTCACAAAAACAAAATTGCACCGATTTTGATAAATTTTCTATGGAACTAATCTGAAACTATATTCTTCCGGATAAAAAAAAATTAAATCGATAAGTTACTCGTAGCTAACAAACATAAAAAAAAAATCCATCGAATTGAGAATCTTTTTTATTTATTTATAGTTTATTGTACGCGCTGATAATACATAAAAATATGACAGAGGCAAGTAAATGTATAAAGGCGAACTTCTTTTTTTTTAAGTTGATTGGTGGGTAGGTTGGAAATCGAATTCTCTAGTTTTTTGTATATTATTGTGATGTCAGAGACATTAGAATCGTATATATTATGCCTAATTAATTGATTTATGGGAATGTTTCATACATACTCAATACGAAACATCCATCATTATTAACTTAATTTCCCATTGGATCGGTATAAATAAAACGCAAGATACTTTTTCGCATTTCTCCAGGGGACCTTTGGTAAACTTTTTTATTCCGCTTAATAACAAATTGATTAAACTGAAATGCGTCGGTAAGCTCGCTTATATTACGGTTGCGTACAATATGTTCGCAAACATATAGCTGACTGAAGATTTATTACTTAAGATTTGTAAAAAGTACTGTCTAGTTAAACACGTCTCGGCTGATAACTAAATTCCGAAACAATTGTAGAATTTTAAAAATTAAAATAAAATGCATTGAATATTCATTTTAGAGAGACAATAAAACGCAGTAACTAACTAGATTAAATTATTCATAAAACAATCCACCGTATGATATTATACTTTAACGAGTATGTTATTTTACCTACCACAGTTAAGGATTTTTTTTACATTTTTTCACAATTTTCATTACTACTAATATTTATAATTAAATTAAAAATCACCATTCAATATGTAGCACTAAAATTTCACTAAGTTAATTTTTTTATGCAACTTAGAATGGCTAACAAGCTGACGGCCCACCTGATGGAAAGTAGTAACCGTCGCCTATAGACATGAGCAGTACCATATACATAACAGAGTATATTGTTTCGCCCATGATACCCTCCCCCCCCCCCCATGTAAATTCACTGCCATATCGCAGCCTTCAAACCAAATACAACTGCTTCACGGTAGAAACACGTAATATTACTATATAATATATAGGTAATATTTAATGAGGGTTGAATACTGTTGTCTGAGATACAAGTTTTATAACCTAGTTCAGACACAGGTGTTTAAGCTGATTCAAATGTACTAATAAATTTGATCGTACCTAATTTTACTGTAATTTCCAGTGCTGAGTTTGTTACAATTATGGTTAACGCAATAAAGTTATTATTATTATTATTATAAAAAAAACTCATAGTTCATCTTTCACTTCCTTAAATAAATTATATTGATTTACACACCGAATATACTTGCCGCAGTTTATAATTTAAACGGTTCTAGCTTACCGTTGGAATTTTCCGTAAATTAACGCTAAAACTGTACGCGTGAAAATCCTTACTAATATTATAAATGTGAAATTTAGGTTTTTTTTTGTTACCTATTAAAAGACTTAACCAGTTACTATAATATTTGATATACACGTACTATATGGCATGAAGATTGTTATAGGCTACTTTTTATCCCGATTAGTAAACATATCCCGGACACGCAGACGAAGTCGGGGGTAAAAGCTAGTAATTAAATAAATATCGTCCCCATTGGAGCAACAATGAAATGTGGTAGCTAGCAGTTGACTAGTTTATTCATAAAGCAATCGCGCTTACCCTTCGTTGTATAATAATTTATATACTATTACATATTCTATTGTTCATTTATTTATATTCCAAAGATAAAAAAATAATCATATTTATACTTCATTTTTGTATGCAACATATTTTGCGACTCGCTATAAACCATACTATATCTAATATTAAAATATTAGATATAGTATGGTTTTTAAAATAACTAAAAATGCAAAACTCATATTTTTGTATAACAGAAAAACTATCTTGTTTATATTTACCTGCTGTTCGTGTTTTCTCCGTTTTTCTCTAAGTTTAATGCTTAAAACGTTTCCCAAAGTACTATGAAGTCGAAACTTCAAAAACCATATTATAAAATTCATTCCGATGCATTTTATATCGTAGTTATATACTTGATAAAAATATCTTTTGCTACATAACACGCTTATGGGTAAAATATTATTTGTTTTTTTTTTGTTAATATAATATCTTCCTTTTGTCCAATAGACATAACATACCTATAACATATTAACTGTCCCTAATTATAATAAGGAAACGAAGACAAATTGAAACCGTCGCTTAATCGATATTTGGTATTAAACTTTATTGTAATACCTGAATATTATACAAAGTATTAAAAAAAAATTCATATCAACATCTGTTCTGAAACAATGTTCTCCACCGGCAATAAGTGTCCGCAATTTGGTGCTGAACTCAGAAATTGCTCCTATAAAAAATAACGATACCAACTGGCTATCTGCTTTTACGTTTCATTACTCCAATTAGCCGTTGTAAAGTAGAGGTTAATGAAACGGTTTATTTTTAAAAATTATAAATCAGTTCATATCTATAAAAGATAGGTATGGTTTATTTAAAAACAGACATAGCGCAAGGGTGGCCTACTCTATGCCTATCTTAGTACTTTCCTGTGCGTGTCGTAATAGGCGACTAACGGAGGGCAACAGATGGGCAGTATCGTCCCAAAGCCTACCTACCAATTCGCCTGCCAAACTTGGCAACTAATGACAACCTCTTTCCAAAGAAGAGACAGTTAAAGTCTGATATGATGGTTCTAATTTCATACCTTAAGGTTTTTAGTGTCTCCTATCAACAATACAAATTAGATTATAAAACCTCATTAATTAAAACAGTAGATACAAAATGTGGTAAATGTCAAATCATATCAAATCTACTAATTTAATTGCAAAATATAGTACAAAAAATGTCTTAATAATATAGCATTCATTCAATGTATTTCCTCCATATAGAGTCATGCAAGTTTTTACATTTTAATAGTCAAATGTAACAAAGTTATACACAAAATTAAGGCTATGAAAACACTTAATAATAATAATAGACAAACAATACGAGTAAAATGTTATATAATAAACGTTATAGTAAGTTGTTTGTTATTGTTAAGATGCTAAAAAGGGTCTTATGCCTCAAACAGTCGTCGTGAAATTTAGTATTCATGTACGAGTACAACATTGAAGAAGGATATAAACTATTATTTATTCTTGTCAATCATCATATTCCGGTCATGACAACGAAGGGTAAAATGTAATGCTAATTAAGTATGGCATTATCAAATTAATAGTAATCAAATTTAAATTCTTTAAAACATGGGTGAGTAACGACAAAATATCCAAACATCTTTACAAACATTCACATTTATAAATATTAGTATGTTTTCCAATATATAATATAAAAAGTCAATATATTCACAAATGAGAATCCATTGTACGAATTGAAGTCACAACCTACAGATCTAGATTCCAAAAGCTTTACTCATAAATGTTGATTTATTTTTTATGCTCATGTCATTCAAAAGTCACATTCAGGTCTCTGCTTTCAATAGATATTTAAATATAAATAGAACGTCCTGAATGTCAAATAAATCATTGATGCTAAAACTGTGTTGGATAGTTGTTATGACATAATTAAACTAATCCAATTCCCAGACGTGGAATATAAACGACCTAATTTGATAGTAATATGGAACACTAACATTTACCCTCTAAAACTGGACCTGGCCTATTTTTGTATTTATTACCTGTCCGTCTGAAATAGAAATTGTTCTAGCATTGTAATTATATAATCACAAGTGGATATGGCAAAACCTAGAAGCGTAAAGAGAAATCTAACACAATTAACTCCCTATGTATTGATAGTTTATGTATATCATATACATATAACCTTCAAGATTCACGGTATCACACAGAAACTACTGCGCCAAAACGAATGCTGTTTTCACAATTGTATTATTGAAGGTCTAATTTATGTTTTGTGTATGTTTTATGTAATATGCTATCTAGAAATTATCTATTCCGCAAATTATTTATACTTTTGAAATAAAATTGTTGACAATAAATTTAAATAAATCTTGGTTTCACCTGGATACAGTTCTTCAGAAATAATACTATAATTCTTGCATCACAATTTTAGTATCTTTTTAAGAATTAATTACAAAACAACACATAGGCTTAAATACATTCTGTATTAAATCTATATATGAAATTAATAAAGAAATTCTCTAAAGTACAAAGAAAAAATACATTGTAATCTATTTCGCAATTTAGAACAACTAAGCGAACAAATAGATAGAAGCAGACAATCATTTTGTTTTATACTGTTTTGTGACGAATTTCTATAACAATTTTCTTTGTTGTTACAGAGAGGGAAACTATCCTGCATCCGTACTGAGTCCGACTCTGGCTCAGATAAACTATCCTTGAGACAAAGCGCCTCGAAACAAACCTCGAAGAATTCTAACCAACAAAGCGACTGTTCATCGCAAGCAGATCACAAATGCCCTTGTTGTTTTAAAGCCGAGAAAAAAAGATTAAAACAGCTGAAAGGAAAAGACAAAGAGTCTAGATTCTACAACGAGATTCCTTTTAAGGCTAACTATAAATATAAAAACACTGGCAGGAATAGAACCCATTCTATGAGAGATCACGTGGAGAACAACAGAGTCTCGTCATTGCGTCGAGAGACGAAAACTGCTCAAACTCTAAGCTTAGTTGTTGGCGGTTTCGTAGCATGCTGGTTACCATTCTTCCTTTATTACTTAATAACACCATTTATACCTTCAAGCTATGTCAATCCTGTATTAATGTATATATTAACGTGGCTAGGCTGGTTCAATTCAGCCATTAATCCATTCATATATGCGTTTTATTCACCGGAATTCAGGTTGGCGTTTTGGCGACTAACTATAAAGAAATGTAAAGGGAGTAGTAAACAATAATTTGTTCTTCTTAAATAATATATTAAATAGAAATCATTCATCTTGATATTATTTATATCAAAGTCATATTATTACACGCTTTTCTATCTCTTGACCGTTTTCCATTTTGTGCTACGTCTAGAAACATTAATATTTTGTATAAGTGTTCCTTTTCAATAATATAAGTGAGCACAACGAAAATACTTTTTGATATTCCTAAATGAACGACATATAATGCGAAAACTTTCATACGAGTGGCACTGGGAAATCACAAAAGCTTTTATATTTTTTAAACTGTTTTTATCATTATTGGTTTTGATAATTTTTTACCATGATTATTAAACGAAAATACATAGATATCATATTATATAGATACATTTTATTGTTCTGTCTAAAATATTACTTTATATTAGTATATAATAAGCAAAAGTTACAAGAAATAGATCATACAGAGAAAAATTATCTCTACTAGGTAACCATTGACATCATCATTTGAAGTTTTATAATTGTATCAGTCATAAACTTAACAACTTATTTTCATCAACTTAATAAGACAAAGACTTTTTGAAAAGACACGTTACACGCTTAGAAAAAAAATCTAAATAAATTTCGAACATAGCAACAGCACACATTGGCATTTTACCACATTGTCAAATAATATAAAAGAAATGGTATGATTAAAACAATAAGAATATTATTCTTATAATAAAATAAAGAGTAAATAAGATGGCTGGTTTTTTGTCGTTTGTAAGGAAGTAAATATAAATCTTACTGTGGTTTCAATAGTGGTAACAAAGCAACCATAACATAGCATATAAAATAATGTCGATCACAGTTCGCATTTGGTTTGATCTCTATAAAATATAGTTATTTCTTTATAATATCATTGTTTTCGCCATTTTCCTAAGGAACTCTGATTACCTAAATTACGTGCGGATCAAATCGGGGTTAACTACTGAAAAATACATTGCACGTATCTCATATAGAACATGTTAATGACATTTATGATGAATCAAAGCATATTGAACTCATTTCCATGTGAAAATCCTATCAAAATGCATTAAAATTTTGTGGAATAATTCAATTGATTTGAAAAATATTATTCTTGTGTTTATTTATGTATAGAATAAATTATGTTTTTTATTATTATTTAAAAATAAATTTGTCCATTTTAAATAATTTAAATACGTATTCCATTTTACATAATTTGTTTTTTTTTTTTTATAATGCCTATTAAATGTTTAAGGATATAGCAAAATTTTTAATGTTGTTCCTTGTCAATAGATTAATAAGCACTACAAAATAATGGTAAACAAAACATATTGATAAATGTTTTATTAAATGTGAAGGCTTAAACGTAAATCTACTTCAATATAACTTTATGTCGTAGGAGTCGAGCATTATGTTACAATACTAAATATTACCAAATTAAGTCAAAGATCTAAATATGGTATTTATCATCATAAAAATCGACTCTAATCTATTCTAATCTATACTTGAAGGAAAATTGTTATCTGATAACATTTTGTGATTAATATTTGTACATTTCCGTAAGATAAGCATAAAAATAAATCTTAAGAAGAAAATAAATAATTAACGACGTTCAGTGAAATGGCCACAAATCTATTGTGCACCATTTTTCCTTTTATTCTTTAAGTACTAAAGTCTATTTTAGTGTACGTGACGTTGATAAATGGTATGTTCCAAATGACTGGACGAGAAACAATATTTTTTGTTAGAGTATTAATTTATACAGACTTTTATGGCAGTTTTATTGTAATACTTTTAGGCAGATTTATAGACTACATGCTATTTCGTAAAATTTTATATTATTATTATTGACTTAATTTCTTTTTATACCACTAAGATAATAAATATGGTCTAACATTTTGGAAACAAGAAATGTACAGAAGAAAAGAAAGTTAGAATCCAATATGGCAGAACGACCTACGGCCATTTGTCGAATGTGATACGTAAGTGCTTAGTCTGGTTTACTAGAACTTAATGAAAAGGTAAACAAGTTTTGTTGAAATTATCACAGAAATACTCTCTAAATGAAATAAGTGACAAGTCGTAAACATTCAATTAATCAGTTTTTATTGTCTTTTTGTAGGGTCAATTAATCGTTTGTTTATATTTTCATTAAGTTTAATTGAAACAGATTAAGTGTTTGCCAGATTAGAAATCTGTGTTTGGGTTTGAATCAGTGTTGGGGTCTATACGTCGTGATAATAAATCACTAAGCCACGACGCTTCCCATTAAAACTTGTATTTAACTCAAATTTATATCAGTACAACGACAATGACAACAAATAAATTATACAGATAATTTCAACATTTCAACACCGGCTACTATTTTATTAAATTAAGGGAATTGAAAATTGTGTAAATTCTTTTGATTAAAAAAAAAAAACCTCAAACCAATTCATAAATTAAGCAAAGACAAGTTTATTACGTAACTTACACAAAAACAAACAATTAAAAACCTCATCCATTTTGGATCCACGTCGATTAAAAAGACTGGGAATTTACAAATAGAAATATTTAATTCCCTTAATTCCCTTTTTATAGGATATCGATCCATGTAACGACCCACAAAAGATAATAATCCCGTCTCCTTAGATTTATTTACGAGAAGTAATCTGCTTTACAATAAAATTCATTGGCTTTTGTAATAGCTTCAGTTTCCATTCTGTTTGACTTGAATAATTCCGTTTTTAAGTGAAAACTTTGTTAAAATTTAACGACACAGATAATTATTAAAATCATTGCTGACTATAATGACATTTCTTTCTCTTAGAAAAATAGAGTGTCGGAATGCTATCAATGAGGTAAATATCAAGGAGCTAATCGTGATTTTGTTTATTTATTATGAAAGTAAGGCGTAGTTTTTAAAATAACTATGATGTCAATGTGAGTCAGTTTCACAGACTGAACCACTTATATAAGAGATTTTCAACATTTTTCATTATGAGACATGTAAATAATTATTGTAATTGTAAGAAATTTGTGTAACTTGTAATATAATAAAATTAGCTTCCTGAAAAATGTACTATTATTATAATGTCTAGTCATCCTAGCTATATAATAATTAATACAAAGTATTTTTATTAGGTGGGTAATATTAGTATAAAAGTATACGTACAGAGATCAATTAGGGCTACATTTTTTGTGATAAATATAAAAATAAATAATATAAAAAATGAATAACTGTTTTTTAATTTCCTTTTCATACTCTTAATTGAAAAAAATTAAATCAAAAGTTACTTTTTTATATTTTATCTTGCATTATAATAATATACTTACAGTATATAGCTACAAATATGTTATGTAATAATACTTATTCATCTTATTTTTCCAATAGAAAACAGGTCAGAAGATGAGAATTGATGACTTAATTACAGAACAAAGAGCTGACAATTAGTATAGCTATATGTATAGGAAATTAACCGCTGCTCCACGTAACAGATTGTTCGATATATTTTTAGGGCACTCCTTATCCCTTTTCTATTTTATGGCTACGAGAAATTGGTTTGTGAGCAGATTAAACCGATGAAATCAGATCATTTTTATATCCTGCAAGATTCCATGAAAAAATTGCGGATTACGTTTCAGTTCTGAGACAGAAAGTAATTCTTAAACATAAAGGTGTAACTATTTATGTGTAGGAATATAAAAAATAAAAAAAAAAATCATATGGCAAACAAACATTCAAATGTGATGGACCACGTGACGAAAAGTGATATTAGAGTATCAAACGAGCTGTAGGTGTGCTTGTTTGTCACTATAGTAATAAAAAAATCAACTCAGCTATTTAATATCACCATGTCAATGCACATAGTACAGTCAATGGTGTCTCTTACTGAATAAAATGTCAAGACACAGCCATAAGAGTAAATAGACTGGAATTTTTATGGGGCTATTTCTTCTTATGGTATACCCCACAAACCACTTAATCTTGTAACTTAAAATTTTATACAGAAGTTCTTTAATGATCTAGAATTATGTAACAAGAATTTTTTGCAAATTTTCGGAAAAGAGAAAGAAGTAGGTTTAGGAAATATATTATTAGGAATGATTTTAGTTAAGAAAAAAATATTAATATTCTGTTATAAAATTTCAAAAATATATATATAATAATATAATATATAATAGTAAGAAGAAGGTTAGATGTCAAATAAAATAGAAGTGAAGTAAATAAAGAAGGAAATCACTAAAAGAAATGTTTTTATTTTATTTTCTAGGCGATCTAAAACGGATATTTAAAATCTAAAAGTTGACGTATTAGTCCAAGTGGGCATCATGAAAGGGCATCATTTATAGATTTTAAAATTGATTTTAATTTATTCTTAATCGTTAATGTTATAATCGAAAATGTGAAAATAAAGAATTCCCCCCCCCCCTCCCCCCCCGTCACCGAACTATCTGTAGCAAAAAAAAATTAAAATAATTACGGTTTATAAAGGTAGGTACTAGCTTTTACGCGCGACTTCGTTCGCATGACCGGGACGTTTACTAACTAAAATTTAAATTATCCTATATCCCTCGTCATTCCATATAGTATATGTTTCATAGGGACTGGTTAAGCCAGCATGCGGCTCATAACAAACAAACAATACAATAACTAGTAAGGATATATAAATATTACAAGGACAATAAAACGATGTTTTTAACTAGCACCATATTTAAGAAATTATCAAAAACCTCCAAAAACAAAATTATGCAGTTCAGTTTTTAACCACAATTATGGTCTAAAATAAGAAATTAGAAATGTAGTATCAATAATAATAACTTCATTTAATGTGAGGTATATTTATGGCCGGAATCCTCGATGTGTGAGTTCAACTCGCATCTAACCTTCCCCTAGTCGCGTCTTACGACACCCACGGGAAAGGAAGGGATGGCCTGTTCTATGCCGAGACCACACGGCCAATTTTATTTATTTATTTGGCTTAGATCCCTAAAACTACAACAATTCCCTAACCTGTCACTGACACTGAATCTAATGGAAAATAACTGTTTCAATAGCAAAAGTTTTGTCGACAAAACATTTTGTCGGTTAAGTTCTTCATTGCAGCAACTCAAAGATTCTTTCGCGAACTTTGGAGTACCTACACCTTGAGCAGTTCCATCAAGTAAGTCCCTAGTTGGAATAGTTTCAACAATCTTGAAAATATTTTATATTGTTTCTTAAATTGTATTTTATTTATATGTATTTTTTATAATAGGTGAATGAACAATACAGAATAATAGAAATAATAATAGATAAAATGATAGAAGTTGCAAAGTAATAGAATGTCTTGGTACAGTCATATCATGCGCAGAAATGATGCAGAAAGCTATGTTTTAAGGAAATTAAGTATGAAAGTGGACGGATGTAAAGGAAGGAGATGACCGAAGCAAAGCTGGGTGGATTGTGTGAAAGATGATATACATAAAATAGGAGCGAACTCGGAAATAACAGTTAACAGAGGTTTGTGGAAGAAGAAAACATGCTGCGCTAACTTCAAATAAATGGGAAAAGGGCAATGATGGTCAATGTTAGAATGTTAACTCCACCTTCGCTAATAATATGCGTGGCGGCATACCAGCGAGGAATGATAGGCGAAGATAAAACAGATCAGTTGATCTGTCTATAGACCAACTGACCTGCTCGTAATCAATTTATCAGAAATTAACCACTTAACCAAAATTAACCACTGCGATTGCTAAACTGCCTCCCAAAAGTAGTGGCTGATATGAAGATAACTACGACAGTTTTAGAGAAGAGGGGGCTATGTGGAGGTCGATCTGAGTATATATCTTAATCTTCACTAACAATCCTTATACCCTAATCTACTAACCTATGCTACTTTTATTTATATGTAATTTATTTTTTTAATTTAAAATTTAAATTAATTTTATTTTTAAATACTATCTATGACAGTGAGCAATAAGAGCAGCAACAGGGGTAAAAATTGGTTTAAGTCCTTTTCCATACCAAATACTACGTGTCTGCCTAATTTCATAACGATTGATCGAGCCATTATGGCGCCAAGAGCTAACAAACAGTCTTCAGTAACAAACAACGCTTTCACATTTACAATAATAACATAATATTATAAATTTCTTCAAGTTGGTGAATAATTTGCATGATATAAACGCTAAAACATTTCTTTTCTCGTTTTATATTTGTAAAAATATCACCAAAACTATCGTTTTACTGATTCTTTTTTCGATTTTTAAAATGTGCAAAAAGTATAAGTACAGTAAATAAGTCCAAGTCGACTCTAAACTCTTGTCACATCCAAATGACAAACGTTAGAAGCGTGTTTACAATTAACAAATGAAGTATTCCGTCCTTTCGCATGTTAATGTGTTAAACATACTAACAAAAAGTGGGTCAAAAGCATTACCATATGAACGTACAAGAATGAAACGCAGCGTGAAACTTTGAAATTTTCAAATTCTGAATCCTTTGAAACATTCTAATCCTCACCAAGCCATCCTAAGGATTTAGTTACTATGCCTTTGTACTCTGTAATTTTATTACCATACACTATCCTACAAACTGAAACACAAGCATGCATTCACAGCATCTCTGAGGTAGAAACGAGTAAAAAAAAGGTGTCTAAGCAGACAATTTATATACAAGGTCTCCCTTTTGGGAAAATTAATTCTACTATCCGATTAATATAAATGTGAAAGTTTATAATGATATTTGTATGTTTGGATGTGTGTTACTTAATCTCGTTTAAACAGTTGGACGAATTGAAATTTAATTTGATAAATAAGTAGGTTATATACGTTAGAATATTTATACACACATAGGATATTTTAGTAAACGATAATATAAATAAACGCGATACTTTTCATCTTTTAAAAACGATAATTCATTGTTCTTATTCTGCCGTAAATAATAAAATTGTTTTATTTACAGCCTTAAAATGTTACGAGGAACGTGTAAACAAACACCCCACACGTCAGCAACATGTTGGGAGTGATGTATACCGCTCCAAGTTTCGACCGAGATTTACGAGATATTTGCAGAAACACTGAAAATAAATAGCTAACATATAGCCGCAGGCTTTGTTCGTGCTAACGGATATATTTTTCATGGGAAAACATATCTGTTAGATACAGAATAACCGTAGAAAAGAATGCCTATCTATTCGATATATATCACAACGCGTCCAGCTGTCAACGTAGTATGGGAGGTTTAAAATTTTTGTCGTTTTTCGACTAATATTTATTTAAAAAAAATATTTAATTTAAATAGAAAAAAAATATCTTATAAAAACAGCAGTGACTCACCTGTTTAATTGACAATTTTACTTTTTACAAATGTTATTAATATCATATATGTTAAGGATGTGAAATTTTGACTGGTTTGAGGCCTGATATACTTTCACCTACTGATGGACGCCTAATCGATCTTTGTATAATACAAACATATGTATTCATAAGTGTGCATCTATTTATACTAGTCTAGACATTTTCTATGTATAATATTAAATTCGTCGCTAGGCTGATGTATGATATGGTTGGATGTAGGTTTGAATGTAGATTTATCTGCATTGAGGCCTACATCTGACCATAAATTATTAAGTTATTTTCCCTCTCTCTCTCTCTCTTCCACCTATGTATATCATATAATTTTCCACGACATTTCTTTTGTTCTTGTCATTTGATTTTGCGGGGGTTACCTTTTGACTTAAAATAAATCCAATAATTTACTAAAATTCATTAAGGTATGATGGAACTACGTCAATACAAAAGTCAATACCAAAATACCTAAATAAATAAAAAAATATAATAAATAAAATTGAATAAATCAATAATAAATTGCACTCATAAATTCATTAAGTTCTTCCATACATATTAAAAATAAAAAATCCTTTATTTTTATAGTTTCTGAAACTACTAAAACTGTTTACAAATTCTTATACTAATATAAAGTTATATATTACCCCTGAGACCATTTTTTATAGTAACCGCGGAGCGTAATTAGTTTTATATATTTAGTATATTTCAGTTGGACGGATGTCTACTAATCCAGGTTTTGAATTAAAAATATATAATTTACACAGGAACATTTTAATTAAAAGAAGTTTCTATTCATTTCATTAGGGTTTTGTTTTTTTAGGCAATACAGAGCATTTTTGATGTTTCTTAG